GTTTTTCTTAAGCCATTCAGAGGTGGACTTGCTGGTGTGTTTTGGATCATTGTCCTGCTGCAGAACCCAAGTGCGCTTCAGCTTGAGGTCACGAACAGATGGCCGGACATTCTCCTTCAGGATTTTTTGGTTGACGGCAGAATTCATGGTTCCATTTACCACAGCAAGTCTTCCAGGTCCTGAAGCAGCAAAACAGCCCCAGACCATTACACTACCACCACCACATTTTACTGTTGGTATGATGTTCCTTTTCTGAAATGCCGTGTTACTTTTACGCCAGATGTAATGGGACATACACCTTCCAAAAAGTTCAACTTTTGTCTCGTCAGTCCACAGAGTATTTTCCCAAAAGTCTTGGGGATTATCAAGATGTTTTCTGGCAAAACTGAGACGAGCCTTTATGTTCTTTTTGCTCAGCAGTGGTTTTCGTCTTGGAACTCTGCCATGCAGGCCATTTTTGCCCAGTCTCTTTCTTATGGTGGAGTCATGAACACTGACCTTAATTGAGGCAAGTGAGGCCTGCAGTTCTTTGGATGTTGTTCTGGGGTCTTTTGTGACCTCTTGGATGAGTCGTCGCTGCGCTCTTGGGGTAATTTTGGTCGGCCAGCCACTCCTGGGAAGGTTCACCACTGTTCCATGTTTTCGCCATTTGTGGATAATGGCTCTCACTGTGGTTCGCTGGAGTCCCAAAGCTTTAGAAAAGGCTTTGTAACCTTTTACAGACTGATAGATCTCAATTACTTTGTTTCTCATTTGTTCCTGAATTTCTTTGGATCGCAGAATGATGTCTAGCTTTTGGGGATCTTTTGGTCTACCTCACTTTGTCAGGTAGGTCCTATTTAAGTGATTTCTTGATTGAGAACAGGTGTGGCAGTAATCAGGCCTGGGTGTGGCTAGAGAAATTGAACTCAGCTTTCCAAAGATGTGATAAACCAGTTAATTTATGTTTTAACAGGGGGGGGGGGCAATCACTTTTTCACTTTTTCACAATTTTTTTTTCCCCTTAATAATAAAAACCATTTAAAAACTGCATTTTGTGTTTACTTGTGTTATCTTTGTCTAATATTTAACTTTGTTTGATGATCTGAAACATTTAAGTGTGACAAACATGCAAAAAAATAAGAAATCAGGAAGGGGGCAAACACTTTTTCACACAACTGTTACATGTTTTTCGTGTGCATCAAACCGAATCCCTTTGAAGTGAAAATGTGTAAGTCTCGGATAAACAGGCAACCACATATGATGCTCTGAAGTGTTGCTCTCCACTTTTTCTCCTTTTTCTAGGATGAAACCATTCTTCCTTTTGAGTTGAGGTCAAACAGAGACGGGGGAGGGGAAATAACGTTACCACGGATGAGACATTTACACACATCTACTTTTTGCCCGTCACAACCCCCCCTTTTTTTCTGTTTTTGCTCCATCCCGCTGGCATCCTTGAAGTCTCCCCCCACCTCAAAGCAAACAAGATAGGAAGGGAAGCGCAGGCTTGTCCTGAGGTAGAGCGAAGCCGTGTATCTTTCACCATAATTGTCAAGTTCTGTGACCTGAACTCAGGGTATCAAAGGAAAGCGCACCGCTCCTCCTGCACGACTACATGGACTAAAAGCTACTGAATCATGTAATGTAACAATAGCTTCTGGGGCAACGATGGCAGAACCAATTTTTGACACTCGGTAGCCATACGAAGTTGATGTTACAGTACAGTTTCCTCTACAGCAGTGCTTCTGAAAGTCAGTGTGGAGAGTGTGAGGGGTATCGAAGATGGAAAAAAAAACATAACCTCACTTACCCATGTGGTATCTCGTCATGCAGACAGTTGTGGTTTCATTTGCCTAAGTTTAAGATACAGGTTTATGAATCCGTGCCCCCAGGCTTTTGAACAAATTGCCAGGAATACAATAAGCCTGGTTAAATCATATTTTATTGTATCCAAATCCGGTTCGTACACTCGATCTTTCACCAGCTTTGTATTCTGGTCCCGTTTGAAGCGGCATTAATGTTTTTATGTTCTTGTTATTTTTGATGGCTACTTAGAGGCGGAACTCCATAACAAACAAATTAATCGCACACATTCGACAGATTAATACCTTGCAAAGTTGACATGACTTCCGTTTTTAGTAATCTAATGCCCGTCTGCATTTCCAGGAGACATGGAGCAACATTAGCGTTCAATTTGGAGCCTTACTTCTGGTGGCCCATTTAAAGCTGTTCACGCTAACGTTAGCTCTGTTGTGGTCTCCTGAAGGACATGTCGGCCCTTGAGCTGCTAAATGTTATGTTTACCCGCTCCTTGCATAATTTATCGTTCTGCTTTTTAGTGAAGGGTAGTTTTATTCAGTAGTGCAGCTTTCATGTCATTTTTTTTGTTTTCCCAATTGCAATCTCCGCCAGGAGATTATGTATTCGATCATGTGCGTGTGCCTCTGTGTCTGTCTGTCCATCGGTAATCTCACATACTGCTTGAGCTATTAGCCTAAACTTTTTTGTTCTCGTTTTTGACTGCATGCTCAGCGGCCTCTCGTGGTTGCAGTTTTATGAAAACATTCTATCGACAATATATTTTATTCATTCAATCAAACATACAGCAGTGGTCATTGCAGACACACCTGACCTGAGATCTGCACTCTACTGAGTGCACTTGTGTTTTCATTGTTGGTTTTTAATGTGTTGCCTTGTGTAATGCACGGTGCAACATGGTTTTTAAAACACACCACAAGATTGTTATTTGGTCATTTGGGGGAAAAAAACATCCCTTTAAGGAAGTCCTGGAATTCCTTTTTAACACAATCCAATCTGAAGTGTACCATAAATCTAATCATGGGTTTGCTTTCAACACTATTACCTTGCTGTGCATAAAGGAAAATCTACCTTAAGGGGATAACTGGGAAGAACCCTCACCAAAGGGTGGTTCAGTGTGGTACTGAGGGCCTGTGATGAGAGAGACTAGTCATTGCTCAGCACTGTATTTTCCAGAGGTAGCCTGAGACCTATGTTGAATTCATTTTCCCAGCTCAATGCAGCCCTTTCCTCTCTCTGCACCCCCTCTGTCATCGTGGACTCTCTGTATGCAGCACCTAGGGCGAGGCATGTTGCTCATCTCTTAAGCCCATTTAACAGCTCGTTACCCAATCGTCCCTTTCTCCCCGTTTCGGCGCTCATCACTTCTTGGTCAGGTTCCACTTTTGCTAATGCGGTGGAAATGAGCCATGGGCATTGCGAAGCGAAGTGGAGCAGATTTGCGGCGGCATTTTACCACTGCACACCATGAAAACACAAACAGGCTCGACACACACACACACAGGCAGTGGAGACACAAGAGAGCCTGATGACACAGAAACCTCAGAGGTTAGCCATATAATTCAATTGGACAGCAGTTTAAATACACGAAGGCCGTGGCATTACACTGCACATAATGCTTAATTAAACCGCATTAGAGGTGGGTCACAGAGTGTGTGTCCCACACACAAGTAAACTGTGAAACAGGCTCGGTCATTCTGGCCTGGGTACTGGAGTAATAACATTTAAACCTTTGTTGTTGCGAGTACCATGAACATCAGGGGTGGGGGAAAAATCTATACAGCATAGTATCGCAATATTTTGCGTGGCGATATTGTATCGATACACGGACGCCAAGTATCGATCTTTTATTATATAAACTATTAAAAAATCAAATCAATTGCTTTTTCAGTCCACTAGATGGTGCTGAGTTGTTTTCTGGTGAGGTCAGCAAAGGTCCCGGGTCAGCGTGATTGGTAGGAAGTTGGTCAAAACAAAGATAGAGACATCTGGCCTCACAACGGGGTTAAATCTGCCAACAGTAGCCAGGCTCATGGGGAGAGTGCGGCGCATAACTGTCTCTCTTCCCTCGACGTCCACGCATCGCAAGTTATACTGAGTTATATAACTCTTATATCCTACTTATATAAGTTATAGTTCATATACTGAGTCCACACGTTTGCATTTAGTTAAGTTGGACTATGTAGTAATGCATTCATTTTGTCAGGTTCATGCAAAATTTATGACATTGTTGGTCAGTCTGTCTGCTTGACAATCCTATTTTGCTGCAATAAAAATGATTGAAGTGAGATGAACAGACTGAAAACTTTATCTTATTCGATAAACATGTTGAGTTTTCCTTTGGGGACATAATTTGAAGTTGAAAAATGTAATAAATCGCAATATAGGCCTATGTTATCGCAATACTCAGAATATCGCAGTATCGTGATAATATCGCAGTATCGTGATAATATCGTATCGTGCTAAGTATCGTGATAATATCGTATCGCGGGATCTCTGGTGATTCCCACCCCTAATGAACATAGCTTCCAACTTTTTTGAAATTATTACTTAAATGGCAAGTCATGTACTTTTCTCAAAATTGTTAGTATTGAAGGGTAAAAGAAGGCCGGTACGGTACTCTGCACCACTAAAAGATTGTGTAACGTATCGTAGACTGTATATACGTAAGTGGACGTAGTCATCGTGACGTTACCCATTGGTTTGTGGACTGTCGTTATGACGCCATCTTGAATTACGGCTGTCGCCTTGTTGTTGTTTTTTGCAACCGATGAACGGAAGTTACCATATTTGAAAGGCACCCTAAAGCATACTCCTCTTTATGGTCTGATTGACTCTAAATGGACCATAATTTACTAAATGAACATCATGCTGCATTGACTGACTTCTTTTTGGAACCAAAGGAGTCGCCCCCTGCTGGTCAGTAGAGAGAATGCCAGTTTTAAGACACTTCCGCATCGGCTTCACTTGGCATAACAGGAAGTTGCCGCCTGGTTTGCCGTAGTTTGTGCCGTTAGCACTGTTAGCATTGCGTCGCCGCCTCAGGCATCACCATGTTGAGAGCCAGTGAAAGGCAACAGACATGTTCAGAATCTTGCAACCTTAAATGATTGCGATATTCAAAAATGCAATTTTCATAAAACTTTAATATATACATAAGAAACATTTGATTTTATGTAAAAACTAAAAAAAGAATTCTAACTTCACAGTTTAAAAATCCAATGCTCTAACAGAAACTGGCACAGTCCAAAGATGAGAAAAATGTTAGTTCAAAAGGTCAGACGGAGTCCAGAGTCTGCTGAGGATCGCAGGAGTTCATCATGAGGAAGAGGCGTTTGGAAAGCTCCGGACCGACGCGTCGAGTCGTGGAGGTGACGCCTTCTCCTCGGCGGATCACGAGGTCAGACAGCAGGGAGATCCTCTCGCGGTCGGTCTTGCAAAGATTGTAAGCCTGCAGAAAGATGGGGAAATATTTCATATAGACAAAAAGAAAAGAAACTGGAAAGTTTGCAGATGTGACTGAAAGTGGTTCGATATTTAAACCCCCATAAAAGAGTCATTCCCTTGTAGGCTGCACTTACTTGACATCTTAAGGCAATAAAGATGCATTTGTAGTGGAAGCTATACTTGCATTGAAGCATATTTAAAAAAACATTTTAAAAAGCGCTCTTATGATGCTCTTTACAAGGGGAAAAGCAGTAAATAAAGAATATTTAATCCACAGAACAGGAAGGAATTCAGGAAGATGTGAGCTTCTCCCGGGCCAGTCTGACTTCCCCTATATTCATTCTGCAATATTCTAAATATAGCATTGACTTAACCCAATATTGTATAATATAAAACCGTTCTTTTAGGTGGCTGTCATCTACCGCAAGTAATCCACTGACTCTGGGTAACAACGTCATCACCCCCCTTCAAAACACTAAAACTATCCATTTGGTGCCCGATAATCAGGAATCTAAGTTTTAAAGGAACGGCAACATATTGCTACAACCATGATAAAAGCAATCTGCTCATTATTTTCCCATTATGACAAGAAAACAAGATTTTTACAGTATAAGTTATAACAAAATTGTTCTAGTCATTACTACGAACCAAATCATTGCATTTTTCAAAAGAAATTGCAATAACGAGAAATTATTATAATAATAATAATAATAATCAATAACAAAAACACAAGTTTGTTTGTACTGTATCAAAAAGACAACGAGTCTAACCGGCAAAATTCCATAAACCAACCTCCACAAAGCTGAGGAGTGATTGTAATTATGTGTGAACTCGTATCTCATATTCATGGACTACTTTATTGCCTTTGTACAAGCCCTGTAGAGAAACATGTTAAGTATCACATGCGTTAGAAAGAAGCAAAGGTTGAATATCCTGTTAAAAATACTTATGTATATATTTTGCAGCCTGTTAACACCTGCAGTTTCTAAATCATCTAAAAACAAATTGGCCTTCTTTGTATAATCCCTTGACATGTAAACAGTGCTTTTATCAGTGAACTGTTTGTGATGGTCACATGATCGCGTGCGCCGCCAACTTACAAGAAAACCGAGGTGCACAACCAAGCACCGCACCGCGCCCCACGCACTGGCCATGATTAAGTCATTTTCTGGTGCACCACGGCACGGGGTTAAGGTTACCCCTGGGCCTTTCCACAGTACTCTGCGAGGGCCAAAGTCCCCGGGGAGAGGCCCAAGGAGGGGATCCTCCCACACCGAGTGGAAATGTAGTTAACGTGGCCGCTGTGAGCAGTGTGTCAGCAGTGAGCGTGTACCTTCTTGAGCAGCTGTGGGGAGGGATACGCTGCCAGGATGGCCGAGGCCATGTCCGGACTGACTCTGTTGAACTGCTGGATCTGTCTCTTCCACACCTGCAGGAGTCCCTTCCCGGCTTTGTCCACCCGCTGCCCCCCCGCCCACTCGCTCTCCAGGTAGAACGAGAAGCCCGTCTTCTCCCTCTCTTGCCTGCGAAACACACACAGAGGAAACCACCGTTTAAACTGGGGGGGGGGGGGTAAAGAGGAGGAGCTGTGAGATTGCTCACTTGAAGGGGGCTTCCGCCACCGCTCTGGTCGTCATGGTGATGTGATCCGAGAAGTCCTTCCAGGTTGACAAGAAGCGGACGCAGACGCCGGTGTGAAGCTGGAGATGCACCACTGCCTGATGGGATGCACGGAGGACCGAACAATGTGAGTCACTATCGAACAATAATCCCGTAAGATAAATGATTTATTTTCCCCTGAAAAAAAATCTAAATCAAGATGTCTGGTATGGTAGCCAGAGACCCTTTCATTTGTCATTTGACAAGGCAAACACTGAAAACCACTATTGAGGGGCACATGCCACTAAATGTCACCTTAAGGTGATGGGATTTTCAGGTCAATGAATGGTACCTTTAAGGTGTTATTTTTCAGTATTCAGATCTATTACAGGTTTATGTGGATTGACGGGTTTTTAAGGGGTAAAGATTCCTTAAAGTATGCAAATAACATTACAGGTACCCATTCATCTTTGCCACCTTCACTTAAGATACAAATCAAGGGATTCACCTGAAGCATGGGGATAGATCAACTAGATTTATGGATAAATTAATGGATTATATTAAGATTGGTTTTGAAATTAGAGCCCCGATAAATAAGGGGTTCATTTTAAGGGATTTTCCCTTCATATAAAGCCCTCAAACCATGCAGACAATCCATTAAAATATTACGATTTTCTTTAATCAAACAAAAATCCATTTATTTTCCATTAATAATGCTCTAAAATCCAATTTCAGAGAAGACATCATCGGTGACTGATGAATGAATCGGATCAGTTTCACAGTGAAGAATTTAACAAAGTCTGTTTCAGATCATGTAAAATGCTCATGGACGTCTTCCTCCACTAGCCGACCTACCTCCTCCACCTCGACTCGCGACACCTCGACACGCGCCTCATCTCCGCCGTTCTTCTTCCTCTTCCTCCCTTTCCCTCCCCCTCGCTCCTCGCCAGCCACTGCCTCTCGAAAACACTTCTGGCTCTGCGACTTCTGGGATCTGCAGGCGGACCAAAATAAAACATGAACCACCGGTCAGCTCCCTTAGGCCCGCCTCCCGTCCTTTACGCATATTTCTCGCCCTGAATTATGAAGACGTCACCTGAGGCTCCGGGTAAATTATGACGGGCACGTTTCAATATTTCCTCCTATTTGACAGACTAAACGATGATTTGAAAGAGAGGCTGTCCTTCCCTACCTGAAGTATTTCTCCAGGTCGATGACCGCCAGGCTGAGGACCTTACCGGGGTGACGCCTCTGCTGCTCCTGCACCCAGGACGTCAGAGTGGGACCAGAGCCACACTGGCCACGCCCCTCTTCCTGCATGAGACACACCCACATGCACCAGCCCACTGCTGTAAATAAACACCCTTTGCTATTTACCAAATGTGGATTGATCCACCACTGAAAATAGTCCCGAACAAAAGCAACTACAAGGTTTTTTTTAGGACACTATGTATTTGTGAGGTGTTGTGAGAGCACGGCCTCTTGTCTGTTTCGAGTGAAGCCGATGCGAAAGTGTCTTCAACTTGCATTCTCTCTACTGACCATCAGGGGGCGACTCCTCTGATTCCAAAATGAGTCCGATTGTATAGAAGTCTATGAGAAAATGACTCTACTTCTCTCTTGATTAATTTAGCATTCTACGTTAATCACAGTACCCGCGGCTGCGTGCAAACGGAAATATTAGTGGAATTCATTCCCATTAGCTATGTAAACAACTCAGAAGTAATATTGTCTTTCTTCGGAACACGAGTATTTTGGGCATGTAGACGTAGTCGGTGATAAGGGTGTAGAACATGAGCCTTCTGTCATGGAAAGCTTTTGGTATTTCTATTTGAACAAAAAAAGCATCTCGCTCATTCTCCCTCCTTTAGTGGTGCTTTTTACGTACTGTGACAAGCAAACCGCACTCAGCGGTAATATATACTAATATGTTGTAATAGGAATGATGTATATATTATGGACATATGTTTATAGCTATGTAATATTGCTAAATACCTTCTGCATAGCTATATGGTCATTAGAGTGACTTGAATTATTCATATGTATTGGTACTCATAAACATACTTCTACTCATTACTCTGTTGCTATATTGTTTTGACATCCCTCCGTCTGTTCTGCTCTCACCTCACCTTATATTCTCACGTCTCTGTCCTGCTGCTCGGCGTAATCTGGGTCTCATTTTAAAAAGCGGCAGTCGCCGCGTTCATGCCGCACCAACCTGAACGTAGCCGTGGATCAGGGTGACAAAGTCGTCAACTGTCATCTGCATCACGACGTGGGCCTCCGGCACACACACACCGCCGCCGTCGTCGTCTGGCTGGAGACATGCAGGGGAGACAGACGGGAGACGACCGGTCCCAAACAATGGATGAACACTCGTAAAACTGCCTCTTAAACCACCGTCCCATTTGTCTCAAGTATATATATATATATATATTCATGCATCACCCTGAATGGAGCGCAGCAGTTAGGGAGATAACATGTGTGTTATCACCTGGGCACAGGGAGCCCTCCTCATCCAGCTGACGCTGCGTGGGACGGGTTGTTTCTCTATGGCGCAGCTGCAGCCCAGAGCCTGCACCGACGCCAGCAGAGTGCCGCCTCCTTCCAGCTGTAAGAGAGCTGCAGACACCAACAAATAAATAAAATCACGTCCAAGAACCACACCCAGGACACAGCTTGAATAATGCCATCCAAGCACGTGGGCTTTGTTTGCAGTATGAAATGAACCTACAGACCTGGGTCCACGGCCACCACCATGTGCTTGATGCACTCCTCGGGCCTCAAGGCCTTAGCGGCCTCCGCCAGATCTTTCCTCTCTGCTTTCTGTCTCTCTTTTTCCTCCCTTAGCGCCTCCTTGCCCTTCTGCTGTCCCTCCCTGGCCTGCCTCCTCCGCAGAGCCTCCTCCCGAGAGGCCTGGATCTCCTCCTCTGTCCGCTTGGCGGGTTTCCTCCTGGCAGGAGAGGTGTCACCAGATGAGACCCCGCGGCTCACTGTTCTCACCTGATGGAGGCCGAGCGGCAGCTCTGACTCTGCAGACCCGTTCTGGGGGAGGAGCCGGGTGCTGGCCGGATCGGATGGCGAGCAGCGCTCAGCATCTTCCCCATTACCGGCGGCGGAGGAGGCGCTAATCGCATTGCCTTGCCTCTGCTTGAATCTCTGTGCCAAAGGGACATAAGGAGCGCAGTCATCAGAATCGCTGCTGATCATCAGCACATCAGCCCCCGCGCAAGCGCCCGCGTTGCCCTTCGACGTGGCTTTTGCATCGGAGCACTCCGAGTCCGGTTTCCCAGCGTGGCTCCGGGAGGCTCTGCCTCGACCCGGCTGGAGGAAGTCAAACACAGGCAACTCCTCATCGAGTTCACTGGTGGAGTCACTGTAGCTGCCCATGGTGCTTCACGTGCAAGCACAGGTTCCTGTATTTGAGATAAGAACACATTTTTTTAATTACATCGAAAGGACCAAGCTTTGGGCCAGACCTATCTTGTCTTCTACACACAGACACCCAACCAAGCTTCATTCAGAAATCTTTAAAAAAAAAAAAAAAAAGAAAAGGAAAGTTTATCTTAATTTAAAGCCAGATCATAACCTAAAATACACATTAAGCATTGTTATTCTTCTAACTTCGGCCTGCACATAACCCACCAAGCAGAACTTATTCCAGTAAAATTGTGATTTATATATATATATATACTGTATGCTTGTTAACCCTATAAATACTATAGTTGTGAAAGTTTGCCTGGTCTTTTTCTTCAATAAATGTGTTAGACAATGTCCTTTTTGAAAATTATTTTGCTCCTTTTTTCAGGAGAAATGTAACTTTCAAAATCAGGCAAGTATTTGTCATTATTATATGTTATAAATGCTTAACGCCCACAACGTGTTTTGGTGTCAGAGAAAAAAGGATGTCACTGAGCAGTAACGTTGGCTTCCATAATGTATCCATGCTCGGGTGAAATGGATACATTACTTCTAGCTTTGCAACCATTGGGCAGAACTTGCCGATAAGAAAATACGTTACTTTTTTAACTTTGTTTGGCGCAGCATTTATGTTCCCTCAAAAAGAAAAAGGCGCACCAAGGCTGAGCCAAGCCCAATGCTACACACATCGAAAACATTCACCAACACTGAGCAGCCGACGTTAAAACAGAAAGAGGCGAAGTCAGCTGGAAGCTCACTCTGCTTTTCATACTCACTTTACACAAAATCTCGCATGCAGATGCGGGTTATTTACTAACTAGATTTAGCACACTGTCTGCACGTAAAGTAGTTTTTGCATAAGAGCCCATTTGATTTCCCGGGTAATGTTGCATTCAGGTTTATCGGACGACCCTAAACTTCCGTTCACCACAGTCTTTTCTCTTTTAGCCTATGCTCTTAACGTTAAACTCATTTCGTAAGTGAACCATTTTAGTTTCGTTTATAAAAACCTAAAAGTAATGTTTGGCTTTAACTGCTATTAACTTAATTTGCGTAATGACATGGTATCTTGTCAGTCATAAACTCAGAATACTACAAACTTCAACGCATTTAAAATATTGTTGTTTTTTGTTTCTTTTAGGCATTTCAAATATTGCTTGTAGTTTTTTCTTCATTAAGCTAACTTAAGCGTTACTTTTGATAGCATTTCAATAGTTTTGATGTCATTTCACTACAGCTCAGGGTCAGTATTTGTAATCTGCTGATACGGTCGGGCTTCTTTCTTAGGGATCTTGAACGCAGCAAATAAAACAACCGGATGTGACGCAAATACGCAGACGACGTGAGTGACATCGTTCAAGATGGCGGCGCTGGCGTCCTTGATGCTGAAGTCCAGAGCAGGTATCTAAAGTTAGGTTTTATACGTTCTCCCAATATTTACAAGTTGCTCGTGCGAACGTGAGAAATACGCATATTTATTCTCAGCAGCTCCTGCTTTCTGTAAACTTTTTGCAACGTTTTAAATCTGTTACATGCTAATTTAGCTAACTAGCAGAGCTAGCTCAATGTGTAAATCAGCACCGAATGTCACAGACACTTCATGCATATGAGCAAACGACTTAAGACGTTCGCAGGGAATTACTGGCGTTTGGTCATTCTTGACACACTAACTTAAGTTGGTTCTTCGTTATGGGATGTGGTAACTGTGTCTGTAATTATGTGACTTGACGTGAATTTGTTCGTGCTGCTGGTTTCAGGTCTGCTGGTACCTGGCCAGACCTCTCTGCTGGACTCTGTGAGGTTTGCATCCAAGAAGGCCGGTGGCAGCAGCAAAAACGTCGGCGGAAAGAGCCCCGGCCGCAGATATGGCTTTAAGAAACAAGATGGTAATAACACATCGTTTTAAACCACTTCCTTTAAGTGCTGTAGCTATTCATCCTCAAGTTCATTTTGTTCAACGTGACAGCCTGGTACTACACAGATTATTATTGTTCAAACTACAGTAAAAAAAAGATAAGCAGATGCACAACATTAGGTGAAATTAATCACATATTGTTAAAGGAGAAGGCTGGAAATTTAGCATGTTTTTCTCACTTTGAATAACCCAGATGAAAAAAACAACTTGTGAAAAAAAAAGAAAAAAATGTATTTATATGAAATCCACCTAGCCCAAATAATGCAGTCTAATACAACAGAGACAATGCACTAAATCCTCCATCATGGAGGTAAAAATATATATTTTGACCCTTGAATGAGTATTTTTGTCACCTTATCCTGTAAGCTGTCATGTTGAGTTGCGTCTGCGTGAAATGCTGAGTGAGTTTAAATTGGGCTTTTATTGTGAAAGGTTTAAAAAAAATGAGGAGTGGAGCTGTTGTGTGCAGCCATTGACAATATGGAAAATAATATAGAGTTGTTGCCTGTTCACGCTCCGTGGTTTTATTTTTCATTCTCTCATAAGTATAGGCCTACTTGGCTACACCGTGTTTTGATTTGGTGTCGGTAGCGTTTGCGCAATGCATCCTGGTACATGTAGGCACTCCAGCTCCATGTGCAGAAGAACTGTCTCTGTCAATATAGCACACACTGAGAACGCGTTGCTCCCATGGACTACATTTACCACCAGCCCTGACTGGACAGCAACATAAAAGTTAGAGTTTTAGCTTGAACCTAACGGCCATTTTGGAGGCTGAAGTTTGGGCTGCTGTAGAACTGTATGCTATTACACAGAGGTGTTCACATAATGTGGACAATAACAGGAGTTATCTAACGTCTCTTTCCATCTGGTCCCAAGGTAATTATGTCCATGCGGGTAACATCCTAGCAACACAGAGGCTGATAAGGTATCACCCAGGAGCGCACGTAAGCAACACTTTCTGTTTAAACTCAAACGTCGATCCGGTGTAGTGAAAATGTACACATTGTCACCGCGCATCTCTCCTCCTGACACCCCCCCCCCCCGTCCCGCAGGTGGGCATGGGAACCAACAAGACGCTCTTTGCTCTGGAGGAGGGCTACGTCAGGTTCACCAAGGAGGTCTACGTCCCGCCGCCACGCAGCCTCGAGGCCACCCGGGTCATCACCAAGCTGCCCAAAGGAGCCGTACTCTACAAGACCTTCATCAGCGTCCTGCCACTCGAACAGGAGGGTAAATTTAAACTGGTGGACATGGTCTAAGACTGGACTGCACTGGACTGGACTGGGACGTCGTCGTTTCCCAGGTATTCTCGCGGTGGACCCCGTTCGACAAGGATTTGTTTTTGACACTTTCGCTGATATCTGGAGATCTAAGCGAAGAGCACACCATCAGCCAGAGAGCGGTCGGTGGACACCTGCAGACTCTCCCTGGCTTCCTGTCTCTGAGTTCCATAAATATGTGACACACTCTATGGCACCTACAAACAGAAGTTAAACTCTGTCACGCATGGATTTTTATTTATTGTTTTTCAGTTTATTTTCACAAAACGTAACTGAATAAACTGTATAAAGAAAAACATTTCCAGTGAACATTTACAGATTTTGTGTTATTGGAGTCGACACTGTGGTGATTTCCTGAATTTGATCATAATCTCATCCCAAAGTAGTCCATGGTATGGGTGCATAACTACAGTGTCATTTGTTACAGTGACCGTTCACTGAGATGCTTCGTGTTCACTCAGGACAACCCACCTAATGAGCTGTGCTGTAATACTGAACTGTATTAAAGTTTTCTATGTGAAAGTCTTTACATGTAATGACTTGGGTTTTGTGTCAGGGGTATTTATCGTGTGATATATTAGTATTTGTGAGTTTCTCTGCTTCAGTGATGAGCAGAGAGAATGATGGAGCCTGCTGAAGTGAACGAGCTTTTCAGGAGAGGAGCTCCAATAGCGGTTGTTGAGACTCGCCCGATTGGACGCCGTAATTCACACACGACAAATAGGCAGAGGACCACAAAACGGCACCATTTCTGCATAAAAACCACTCTGTCCACATGACCCCAATCAATTATGTTACTCACGTCCTTGACCGAAGATGAATTCGGACACACTGATGACTGAAGCGTGCACACGCATTTAAAATGACTGACAGGACATTAGATCAGAGATGAGATTTTTCTGTAAGCCTTATCTAAGCCTAACCCCGGGGCTGTTTGGAGATTCCAATATCAACTGAATGTAACTAAGTGCATTACCACAATCCTTTTTTAAAGCCCATTTTGATCAATGAGTGTTTAAAATATCAATAATTTCATTATCATTTGAGGATCACACAGATTGTTGCATATTGATTCACAGATATTTAATGTTAGTGATTAAGATTTGTAGCTGATCTTAAGTGTTGCATGGAGAAAATTTAGTGTGGGAAATTTGCAATACCAAAACTAACCACAAGATGTAGTACAATACTACATTACTTTATGCTCAGTTGGATTCACCAGTATTAGGTCCACATTCACATTGATGGTTTGTTTCTTCATATATTGGAGAAAGTTACAGGAAAAAATGAGTAATTTTAAGAAGGATACCTCAAAGGGTGAGGGTTACTCAGTGACCTGGGTAAAAGGAGACCTTTATCAGGCCTTGGTCTTCATTTAAACAACCCCTGTATGGAAGTTGTTGGGAATGGTACAAGCCAGCGAGATATCTTTTCAGCATTTCTGTGAAAGAGTTTCAACAGGAATTAAGATAAAAACAGGATCTGCTGTAGCTCAGCGGCTTGTGGTATGCAGGTGGGAGTATGGGTAACGCCGTCATGAAGCAGAGTGATGGATGTGAGGAGTTTGTAGACATGGCGTTCTATTTCTGAGATGTTGGAGGATAACGCTGTCTAATTGGACAGCATACCAAGATGAAACTGAGCGATATCTCCATAAACCGCGAGAGTAAGCGATTGGATTATTGGACATGTGCTACGCCGCTTGTTTGTCCTCCCCTTCCAAAAGAACCAAATGACTCATGAAAGTTACTGAGTAGCCACCAGCTATTGTGCGAGATCTGCAATTCTTGATTCTCAGTCCAGGCCGGTATCAGTGCAGGTCGTCCTCAGCAGACACAAACCACAAAGTGCAGTCTAGTTCAGCACCACCTGGTTGCGGTTAGTGTTTGATCTCTGTGGTTAGTGTTTGATCAGGGTTAAAGAGTAACTGTGTCGTCGTGCTTTACCTCTCAAACTCAAAGTGGCATCCATTGGTGATGAGTGCAGGCCAAACACATTTACTGTGTAAGCACTGCTTGGTCTACGAGAGTGAAACCATTTCATTTTTTTATTAGCTTAGTTCAGACAATCTCTTTTTCTTCTACAGCCTGGAAATGTCGAAAGTCAGCGTGAAAGACGTTTACATTTAAACTACATGAGCGCAACAATCACACTAGTTCTTAGTCTCGGTTGGTAGGTCCACCACTGAAACATCTCAACAAGTGTTAGATGGATTGTCACGACCTAATCAGGGAGACGCAGACAGTTGACCAAAAAGCAAAGAGTTTATTTAGACATACACAAGACGTCTAACTACAAATGGTGGTTGCAAACGAGCCGTCCTCGTTCCTCCACAGAGTGATAGGAGAGCACTACCGGGAAGGCGGAGCCTTATAGTGGAAGCACACTGGGCCCAGGTGCCTCCACTTAGGGCGATCACCTTTGGTACCTGCTGGCTTAAAGGAACATACACAAGTAACCAAGATAGGGAACCGTCACATGGATTAGCATGAACCTTTGCACAACACATTCATGGTCCTCAGAGGACGAAACTTACTAACTTTATTGATCCCCTGGCTTTTCCTCTAATGCGTCCAGCAGGTATAATGTTTTTTTTGTTTTAAATTTTAATATCTCAACAACTATGGGATGAATTTCCATGGAATTTGGTAGATATTCATGGTTCCCAGATGATGAATCCTACTGATTTTAATGTTTTTCGTACATTCTGCCAAGTAGTGAATTAATAATCCTGGTCATCCTGGGTGTTGGTACACAGCATTAGCACCCTGTGATAGTCTAAATGTTGTTTCTAGACTCCTATAAGAGTAAAAGCCCGATGAAAACACTGGACATTCAGGATTGAATATTGGTGTCAAATCTGTTAAATTCAAAGAGGTTGAATTAAAAGCCTTCCGTACAAAAATATCAGTCTCTAAAGAATCACATTTGTCAAACATTTAAGTCCATTCTCCTATTTTACCATTCTTTGAAAAGCACAATGTAAAACCTGCCTGGGAATGGACAATGCAGAGATGTGTCATTGTCAGCCTTGGGGAGTGTACAGCCAGAGTTGTTGTCATGAGAATACCTCCAAGCAGAATCACAGTGATCCATCAACAGCTCTGCCTCAAAGCACAAGCATTCCCTTCCCGAAACTTTCCTTTTGTCCCCGATGGTGTCACCCTCTTGGCTCTAACAACCGTAGCCCCTCTTCATCATTCTGTGACTTGGCAAAATGAACTCCAGGGCCATCAGACGGACAGAAACCTGCGGCTCTGTGCCGGGCAGTAGGAGGAAGACATTCCCCGGAGTGCCGCGGGTTGTTGACCGGGGTGGTGCGTGTCTTCATTGAGGTTTGAGTTGTGACCCTGGGGTTGGACTGATGGGTGAATATCCAGAGAGCGCAGATTTGCAGCTGGAATGTCAACGGATTGGCGAAGGGTTTCTTCATACGTCGGTGAAGGCCAGAATGTGACAAAAGGAAATATTTTGATCTAATATATCTAAACGTGTAGTTTAAAGGTGACTCCCAGATTTGTACACACAAAGATCAGTTTACAACAGCTGTGTAATAACTAAGGCTGTCAAAAATCTGAGAAAACAACCAGAAGGATGTCCGCAGGGTTTTTTCAGGTTTGGCTCGAAATCTACACATTTATAACAGAAAGGCTGTTTTGCAATACATGTATTTATACCAACAAGGGAAGATGTAACAAAAATATGCTATTTGTATCATTCGTATCATTATGTGAAATGTTACAGCATCGCTCGGCAACGCCTCCAATTTGTCCATCAATTCCAATAGGTCTGGTATGGAGTCCCAAAATGCCAAAAGGTGATTTTTTAATTTTTTTTTTATCTTGTGTGTACAATTTAATTATCTTGTGGGAAGAAGTTAATTATCTTGTGCGCACAAGATAATTAACTTCTTCCCACAAGAAAAAGAAAATAAATCACCTTATGGGACATTGGGGGCTCCGTAGTCTTGTGCTATGCTAATAGAGAGGAGTCCCTCCCCTTCCTGTTTGAAATGTGCCTTTTATTACACATATGATGATTGTCAATTTAAAAGAGCTTTGCTAGCTGTTACCCCCCTGCTTGTAGTCTTTATGCTAAGCTAGGCTAATTGCCTCCTGACTCTAGTTCCATACTTATTCCACAGACCACAGAGAGTGGTATTGATCTTCTCATCTCACTCGTGGAAGGAAAAAAGCCAGTAACTGTATTCCTCAATTTTTTAACTTTTGCATGCGAAGGGGAAGTGCAATACAAGTTTGCAGGAGAAACTACCTCCGCCAGGACCAAAGAGAATCTGCAGCCTTCTGTCCGCTCACCTCATCGTGGCAGAGGCCGAAGCGCTGTGAGATCATACTGTGGATCTGTCTCTGCCGGTCCTTCTTACGAACGCTCTCATAGGACGGCAGCCTCGGCTGAGCCCCATTCAGGTGGTAGTCGTTTGGCTTCCGAACATCAAATAGCCTTCCAGGGAGCTAGACTCCATACACAAGCAGAAATTTGATGTGAAACTTCTGGCAGATGCATTTTTTAATCTTTGCAGCGATCAGTTCCAGTCAGATGATCAGTTTTTCCCTGTGGTACGATAGCTCCCTGGTTCGTGGCGGCCCTGTGCGCATAATGAGCGATGCCAGTCAAAGAGTGCCTGGTGTGGTAATGGGGAGGCTCATCCTGGGAAGTAAGAGATCATTGGCAATTTGTCTCAATTCAACATTGACAGCAAAGGTTTTCTTTATTTTTCTATTAGTATAGAGTGTGGACGATGCAGGATGAGGTCAGGATGAGGCAACCCGGCTGAGGAGCTCTGAGGTTAGAATCCCAATCAGCTCCAGTGGTGTTGTTCTGTGGTTAACCCTCACCTCTAACCTCCTGGTTAGGTTTGGTATTAAGGAGGGTTCTTACTATTTCTCTCATTCACAGGATTACAGCGCCTATTCTTGATTTTTCCCTTAGTGATGTAATAAGTGATGACATTCTTTTTTTATTATCAGGACTCTGGCGAACTCTGCCCAGGGGCCCCCAGGAGCCCCAAAACCTCCAGGTTCCCTCCATCTCACGGAGTTTAGGTAATTTGATGAATGCAAATATGTTAAGGAATTTGCATTTAATATGGATATTAAATTAATCTTAAATAAATAGATTTGGCAATAAATGTGTATATATATATATATATATATATATATATACACATATTAATATTCATTCATTGGTATTTATTTTCTTATTTTAAATAAAACCTGAAAATGTTTATATACTATATATATATATATATATATATATATACACACACACACACAGACATCTTACCTCCCCACATCTCCCCAGTGTAATTACTGGTGAATAGAAACGTGTCTTATCAGCATTAAACAAAACACCAACATGACATTTTTCCTCACTTCTTTAATATCATGTAAGATAAACGCAGTTTGACAACGCAGAGACACAATCAGCGCCGTACTCACCCGAAGCAATGATGACAGTCAGCAGCTGTGGGCTCATCACAGGAGTCGCTGGTGAAACAGATGTGAAACTTCCAGCTGTCTCCACGCACATTATGGACGGCTTTCAAACCAAACATGTCTTCTGACTAACTAACCAGTTAGTAACCTGTGGGTGGATATTGACAGCACAGAGAGAGCAGGGCAGTGGAGCTACCAGCAGAAACACACCAGAAAGCTGACTTTAGATTTCTTGATATTTTCCTGTAATTTTCATGTCAGTTTATTTTCCGTAAGTTGCATATATTACTAATATAATTATAATAATGCTTATAATATAATACTTTCAATGACAGAGACCAAAACAAAGTTGGGATGAAATCACACATGTAATAAACAGACCACGTTGCAGTTTTATTTAATTATCTGCTGTTTGGCGTGTGTGTGTGTGTGTGTGTGTGTGTGTGTGTGTGTGTGTGTGTGTGCAAAGTTATTTATTTCTACCATAAACTGTTATATATATTTTATGTAATTATCAGTAAATATTCTTATTTGTTTGTATGCTAAATTGACAAAATGAGAGTTTTCAGATAGCTGCAGTTTGTGCTGAACAAAAATAAGTTTTGAATTTGAATAGAAAGTTGGCAGAATTTAACAAAAACGAACCTCTATGAGCTGCAACGCGAGGCTGTTCAATAATGTATTACATGTAGTGTTTGCATCTGAAACGTATTGTTGACCTCCTATCATCTTCATCCTCCTCATCTCCTCCCATCCACACATTGCTTTCATCCTCTTCAATGGCTACATCCCCCCGCTTGTATCTTATACGTGATCACGACATGCCTTTTAAAATACAGAGGAGAAGGCTGCGTGGGGAGGGATGGGGGGGGGGGGGGGGGGGGGGGGGGAGGGAGGGGGGGGGGGGGAGGGGGGGGGGGGGGGGGGGG